GAATACTCATCTGAATGAAATGAAAAAGATTAAGCTTTCTAKTTGCTAACTAGTTTGTTTGATGTCAAAACGGATGTCCATGTGGTCTGAATATTAAAAATTGAGCTAAGGATACAATTTTGATTCAGAGGATCATTCTTCTAATTTAAGTGACTGACAATCCACAAAATGCAGTTTGCTTCCGATAACGCAATCTAGCAGTTCATCTAGTTCAAAAATAGATTTTTCTGTTAATATGTGAATTTTAGCACTTTTTCCCAAGGAATGTCATTTGATTACATTTGTGCATGCAGGGTTACAACCTCAAGACACCCCATGACAGGAGTTTCTCGGTTAATCAGAGAGAGATGATTTGTCATTGGATCATTTGGAACAGCAAGACCTGAGACAGGGTTACAGAAGAACTCACTAAAGCCTGAAAATTCAAAGCTAAACTCAGACTTTGTCCTTTATTCATCAGATATCACAAGTTCTTGCAACAGGTCTTACATAAYCTGCAGCAGATGCTGTAATACATAAACAAATTGTATTGAGCTAAGAGAAAAAAAAAAGAGTCAATATCTTAACTGTGAATGCCTTTGGTTTCATGAATTTGGATTAACTCCTGAAAAAGAATTACTTTTTCTGTGGTRGCTGTTAGGAAAGATTTACAGAGGCTCAGTATTAACAGATACATTTTCTGCCATGTGTAGTAGATTTTTACCCTTGGGCAGAAAAAAGTCAGTAGTCATATTGCTGTGATTATTAGAATGAGGTCTCAACTACCTATTTGCAGAAGTAGCCAAAAAAATAACATTAAAAATAAATTTCAAGTGCATCATATCAACCAAACCAAGAACAAAGCAATTTCTTCTGGATGAAATTCTGCATAAATCTCTGGTTTGTGTGGAAGTTGTTTTAATTTGCTTTCATAATTATCTTCCTTTTCACTTAGTCTACATGTCAGTGCATATCTAGTGAGCCAAATTACATTTAAGATGAAAAATAAAGTTCCACTAAATATCTCTTTCATCATACCCAAGGAGACAGTGAAGATAATCGCATTTCACACAGCATATATCTGCAGAAGGAGCTATAAATGCCAGTGCACACTCCCCATGGCTCAGTGTTTCTTCTCTGGTTAAATCTGTCCTGTTACAAAAGTACAGATAATTTTTCAGCTTTGCTTCTCAGTGCTTGTCAGACCGCCAGAAGGGCTGCTGCAGCACTGCACGATGAGCTCAATGCTCTCAGCACAGCTGGTGGCATGGGGTGGCAGGGGACAGCCACTGGGAGAGGTAAATAGCACTGGGCGGCTGACAGTCCAGACGTCAGCAGGTCACCATGAACTTTACTTGTCCCTAAGAACCAACAGTACTATAGCTGATTATTTCCYGGAGTGGGAATCTGGGATTTTGTGGTCCACAGCCTGAAAGAGCTCCAGGGGCAGCAGCCTATTATGCATCATTACCTTCTCTGTACTCTGTAATAAATGAAAAATAAAACACTGAATTATACGATTGAGCAGCTGAACCTGTGCTCTGCCAAGAGTGCTAAGACCCACTGCAGACGGGCAAGGAGGTTTCACGTGTGCTTTTGGATACAACCCAGTCTTTGCCTGACCACACCTGTTATCATTTTCCTAGGAGAGTATTTCTCACCTAACATGTCCCAGTACTCCTGGCTGACAGCAGGAATGATAGCAGCTTATGAAAACCCCTAAAGCAGTCCCTGCTGGCACATTTTTTGCCTGCAGTCAGGCCTTGTGCCCTCTCTGCCCACATTTCTCTGCCCAGTGTAAACTCCTGTCCTTGCAGGGAGTGAGCCCTTCTCCCATTGCAGGCTCCATGGCAGCAGAGGGCTTGATCCCTGGGTTTGAGTGCGAGTGGGTTCCTGACCTCCACAGAGACACCCATTTCCCAATGGAAGCTGAACATCCCAAAGTTTGTGCTCTGTCCAAAAGGATTTTATATCCATCAGACTCCCACTGAGAACATATATTTGCCACATATATATTTCCACAGATAACATGGAAGATGGACTTAAAAAAATTTTGGAAGGTTTCATAGCTAATTGCAAAAARATTGACTGAATGTCCACCTTTGACCAGGATCGGATAAAATAATTATGCAACCGACTTCCTAGGTTCCATCTGATATCCCAGCAATACAGAAGCAGAAGGGTGAGCATATATCCATGACAGCCCAGCTGTTTGCAGGGCTGTGTTGGGATCTGGCTCCAAAGAGATGAGTTTGGGACTGCCACACRAGTCCCCTCCACTCAAGGCACATAACAGTCTCAGCATCAACACAAGCACAGGGGCACAAACAACTCAAAGAGGACAGAAACACCTGAGTCCAGCACTACTGACACAGAAAAAAGCTGTGCAGCCACAGCCACAAACACCTCAGCTGGGCTGATCTATAGGCTGTACTGGAATGACCAAAGGGGAAAATGCTGCACAGGAACAACAAGCAATGAGCTGTCCCACCCCAATCCTCCTATCAGCATTTGTTTCAAAGAACAGATGTTTTCTATAAAGCTGACTTGAAAATTGGTATCTTCCTACTTCTGAGAGAATTCGTTCACTTTATCTTTTTACTGGCAAAAGTATTGTTGTTGCTTTGCATTCCTGCCAGCCCTGCAGAGCCACCTCCGCGCCGAGGAGGTGAACTGGAGTCTGTTTTGGCATAAAGCAGAAAGGACACAGCTTGATCTCAGATCCCAGGGTGGATTTTCAGCGCTGGCAGTGAAGAGAGTCAAGGTTTTATTTGTAAATTAAAAGAGGGGTCAACAGGAAAGTCATTGGAGAAAAAAAAATAAAAAAGCCAATATGGAGCCCTACCATGCCATTTATAGATGAGAGCATAGTTTGTGGAATGTAATTGGAGTTATAAATAATATTATTGTTTGTTCCAGCCAAGAAGCTGTAGTTCATTCAATTAAGAGAATGGATGGGCTTGTGTTGTGTTACCCATTACTTTACTTTAAAATATATCTGTAAAGATACTTTACTGTAAAATATATCTGTAAAGATATTTTATGGAAATGTTACTGCAGTGACAAGGAAAAGACACAGACTTTTTCCAGTAAGCAAGACACCTGAGGATTATTTGATCTCTTTGTTCCCTTAAAACAAATAGCTGAAAAAAACCAACCAAACAAAAGGAAACAAACCCTATGACCCCCCACATATAAAGAAACCAAAGAACCAACCAGACAAAAAAACCACACAAAAACCAAGCCAATTTTAAAGAAAAATAAATAAGGGAAGAAACATGAATTGGCAGGTTTGACTATGGAGTTCAGTATCAAAAATGAATCCTTTGTAACAATAAGTTTGGGAGGAAGTTATTTCCTAAATCTGTTCAAAACTTAAGGTTGCCCCATTTCTTTGGGTGGTGTAAGGTGCATTCTCAGCAGTAAGCCACACAATTTTATATCAATCCTTAATGTTCACTTATTTCAAGCACCATTGATGARGAATTACTACATGATGTCAATCAGAAATGTTCACTGCAAAAGAGAAACATTCTTTCTCAAATATTACTATTGAAAATACTATGCAAAACCACAGATACAGCAAGAAATAAGTCATGCTGTTCAGGAAGCTGAGCTGGCAATAGCAAAAGATTTGTGGTGGTTCCCTGAGCCATGTAATGCTGACATTCCATTTTTACAAAGTTGATACAAACTTTTACCCCATTAAAAAAATTAAGAAATTCTGTTTTAAGAAAAAKAAAGCATTAAGTACTACAAAACAATACTTTTAGCAGCAGGTAGCAGTAGCAGTARTAGTAGCAGTAGTGGTAGTAGCAGTAGTAGTRGTRGTAGTAGTAGTAGYARCAGCAGCAGCAGTCGTAGTAGTTCAGTCATCAGAGGGCCAAAACCAGAAATTCCTCATTTCTGGAGCTTGTAAACTTGTGGTGAATGTATCTTGTATCAATCAGCCATGCAAACAGACAAACACAGCCCCTTGCTCAGTCCTCTGGGAGGAGGACACCAGTCCTGGTGGGAGCCAAGGCTGAACCTCTCCCAAGTCCTGGGGCACTTGGCCTCAGCTCCCTCCAGGATCAAGGAACCCCTCCTGGGGAGCACAGATCCAGGGGAGAGGCTTCACCAAGCAGCATTCAGACCCCAAGTAAGGGGAAAGGTGAGTTCTTGAATCCCATCACAACCAGGGTTATCTGGGGCCAGGGCATGTCCCCAGCACACAGGAACACCATGGACCAGCCATTCAGCCACTGTACCCCAAGTATAAATAACTCTCTGTGAAAAAATATAGGAAAACAACGGKGAAATAGTATTGTAATCAAAATAAGTTGCATATGAGGGGATGCACTACTTCAGTAGATTTTTAAACAGATTTTTTTAACATCTTCAATGGATAAATTTGTTCGTTTGTAGAACAAAAAAACATTTCCTTCTGATAAAATATAGACATACTGAATGATGATGAGGTTTTKGGGCTTTATAAAATGCTTTGAGGTTTTAACTAAACCTCTGCCCCTGCCACCAAAAATATTCAAAATATATTTGGGGTTTTTACATTTCTGTACCACAGAGACAAGACCTTGGTGAACCAACTAATTCTGGTACAGCATGAATTCTCAGGACCAATGAAGGGAACATGCCAAGTTAATAAGTCACTTGGTKATTAGCTAAGTGGAAGAATTTGGTGACTCTAGCAGAAACTTTATAAAATAGAGTAGGAATTTTAACCTTTTAACTTATCTGCAGTTGGCAGTTTCTGAGCGCCTGTGAGAGGTACTTATGAAAAACAAGCATTTTGTCAGTAGAATCAAATTCACTGGAGACAATACTTACACATTAAAAAATCATTAGAAATTTGTAAACATAAAAGAGTTGAAAACTGTTGGTATAGTAAGATAGTAATAACTGTGACCAAATCAAGTAAAGCAACAGAAATAAAACTCATTAATTTCATTTAGAAGAAACAATGTTGTTTAATACAAGTAAAAYAAAAGTATAACATAAAGAATTCAACCGTAGCAGGGGTGGTCAAGCAGCATTTATTTTTATTCTCAGCTTGCAGATTATTTCTGCTACAAAATGTGCAAAAMGTCAGTAGTCCTGAATGATGAATGTAGAAATAGTGCACATGATATTGATCTGGTCTGTACTAACAGATCTTTTGAACTGATAATCCSAATGTCTTAAGTTCCCACAGCCATTCTAAAAATGAAATTTCATGGGTTTGAAAAATATTCAAAATGTATATGCACATTTTTTAATCAGCTGGTGCAGCAAAATTGCTATTTTTTCTAAACACTAACAATATGACACATACAGAGAACAGTTAAGAAGACCCTTAAAGTATATAATTAATTAAGAAAGTTTAGATCTTTAGTGAATGAACATGCTGAGCAACACTGAATGCATTCATGTGATCACAGATTAATGGAAACATAACGGCTTGGATTGGACGGAACATTGAAGATCATCAAGTTCCAAACTCCATGCCATGGGCAAAGACATCTTCCACTACACCAGGCTGCTCAAAGCCCCATCCAGCCTGCTCTTGAAGACTTCCAGGGATGGGGCATCCACAACATCTCTGGGCAACCTGTTCCATGCTGGGTCATGTTGAACTTCTCATCCACCAGCACCTCCAACTCCTTCTCAGCAGGGCTGCTCTCAATCCATTCGCTGATCAGTCTGTATTTGTGCTTGGGATTGTCCAAGCYAGCAGGTGGGACAAGTCTGGAGAGAGAGAAAAAAGGGAGTGTTGAATTCTGTTTCAGGCTTTGGTATGTTGGCGTCCCCCCCTTGGCAAGGTGAAAATAAGTTTCAGCCATGTAGAAGTTATTGAAGTTGTATTTCTTGATATCATGCATTTTTTTTTTTTTTGTTCTCCAAATTCAGCCATGTAGGTTAGTAAATTCATGTAAGTCTGTTGGTTTTCAGATTGATTGAAAGAACACCTTTTGTGTATCAAAGAAGAAATTGCATTATTTAAACATAAAGACAAGTACATCTGAAGACAGAAATTTCAGCAATTTGATGATGGTACTATTTTAATCCTCATCTGTGTCTGTTGACAGTAGATGTGAGGACAGTGTAACCAGTCTTGTTCCAGCTAACTCACCCTACCTCACTTCTGACAAACCAGAAGCCCTAGAAAATAATTTGTTTAAGCCTGTTCCAAAAAAATCTTTTCATGTCTTCTCTGTCAGGTAAGTCCTGAGTTGTTTTAATCTCATTTATATATTTTGAAGATATTAGAAAAAGTAAGTTATGTTGCTTACTAGGATTCATCCTAATATTCAATATGGAACATACAATTTTTTTTTTTTGCATTTCAATAAGTGCATTAATTTTCCTGATATTTCTTTATTTAGATATGTGCCATTGGAACTGTTTCTAAGCACTACGATAATTGCTTGATTTCACATTCTTCTTTTGGTAAAAACACATGCATTTTCATAAATCTCAGCTACATTTTACCATGTAAATTTGTATTCATAGAGTTCAGAACATCTCACTCCTTCATACCTGATGTATAATATTTCTAACATGTAATTTGGAATACTGAATTGAAGGATAGCAATCTAAAATACATCTGAACAGTAACTGTTGGTTCTCATAATTTCTCTTGCTCYACTGGATTTCAGTATTTCAGAGAAATTTTCTATATTTGAGATACCTGAATATTTTGCAGTAGCATCTTCTTTTCTCTTCTTAGTTGTCTGAAGAACAATGGAATTTCATTCCTTTTTTGTTTTGTTCAGGTGTCTGCCWTCTTCATGCCATTTATTCTGCTGAATCTGAAGAGCTTGAAATTGTTAAAATGAAAATTAAAGTGGTAGGCGAAACTCAAGAGTTTCCCTTAGGTTAAAACTAATGTTTTTAATTAATTTAGGAAAAATGACATAAAATTACGTGATTTTAACATAGTTGTGGACATAGGTCAATAGGGCTATCCAAGATTCAATATCTATTTTCTCATAAAAACAGACAGGGTTAAGAGGGTGACAAAGCCTTCTTAAGGGAAGCACCTCTCTGTTGGCCTGACAATTGATGTTGTGAGAGAGGTGCTGCTGAGCTMTAAGATGAAGTATTGCTCATGTTTCTGCAAAGTACTGAGCTTTCTGCTGTGAAGTGTAGAAAATAATTTCTATTGATGAYTAGACTCGACAGCACTTCAAGGTATTGCAGGCAGCCAGTTCTAGGGTGATCATATAATGACATCAAGTATTACGATTCTTATGATATTCTATGCAAGAAATCTGCAGGTGTAAAGCCTCATTTTTTTCTGTAGGCAGTGAGTATCCAGATGCATTATGGCTCATACACAGCGCCAGACAATCACAAATGTCAGTTTGCATCCGTGTGAGTCTGTGTGTCAAACACACAGTGTCATTTCTCCCTTCCTTCAGAAAACAGCGGAGACYTTCAATCCTAGAGTTCCCTGATGAATTGCATACTTGCTCAGTCCAAGTAGGCTAAAGCAGACTTGGAAGAAAGAGCAAGAAAAGAAGCCCCGTCTCATACTAGCAGTTTAGTACAACTAGCAGCCTTGTCTCCATGTCTTCCTCTTCCAGCTGGTCCCAAYGGACTGGATAGGGAGAGGAGGGACTTTGTAGCCCCAAGCTGTGCACAGTTCCCAAGTGCTCTTGTTACAGCACAGAACCAGCAGATAAAAGACTTTGACACGAATCTCCCTAGCAAGTTGGTGAACAGTGATGGGAGACTGCATGTAGACAACTTTAGGTGGCAAAACAGAATGCTTGTTTCCTTCTTTATCAGTCTTGTCAGACAATGTGTGTTCCCCCTCTACAAGTAAAATGAAAAGAGAAGAGACAATAGGGTTTATTATCAAGGAAAAAACCAAAGCAATGTGGCCACTTAGTTCTCTTTGCAGGAGTAAATTCTGCCWTGAGTTGTTGGGTAAAGTATTAGTAAGACACAGCAGCAAAAACTTCCTTTCAGGAAGTACAGCAACCACTGGATATCATCAGGAACTCACTCAGGCACTGCATAAGTGATCTGAAGTTGAAAGTGAAAACACTTCAGTTTAAAAAAACAAAAAACAAAAAAASCAAAAAAGCAGTAACGTTGTAAATACAGTGACAGGTTTTTTATGCAAAACAAGAAAAGCCAACCTGAATAAAGATACATAGAAGTGACATATATTAGCTGATAAAAGTTCAGGGTGCAGGGGCATAATGAAGAGATATGCCTCTTTATAAAAAGGCATAAATAAAGAGTAATATTAATACTTAATAAAGAGTAAAATACCTAAAAGTGGGAAAATATATTGTTTAGRAAAAAACTTACTTTCAGCTTTAACTGTACTCACAAAATGCTGCTGAATACCTTAGTGTTATTGCAAGATCTCAGAACAGYGGGAGGTGGCCCAAAAAGAACAGGTGACTTTCCTGGGTTACTAGGGATGTCAGGACTCATACTGACACTTAGGAGGAGCTCAATGGCGTGTTTGTCACTATTTTTACTATGATGAATTCGGGAGTTATCTAAACTTATATTTTGAGCCAAAAATCATAGCACAATGAAAATACCACCCAGTAATATATTAATTTACAGAGCACCATATTATGCTGCTTTTTTGTTACACTGTACKGCAAAGTATTTCTGAAACACAATTTGGAATCGATAGGTGTTTACCTCATATTCATGTGTATTTCTTCAGAAACATTTGCCGTATCTTAGAAGCAGCATATCTGCAATGTGATGCAGGGGTTGCTATGGTGAGTTCACATCTCTTATTTAATCCTGTACCTGAGTAAATACACATTGTAGCAACCTCTGTTAAAGGTGCTATTAGTAAAGTTATGTCAGCATTTCTATGAAAAAATACTTGTTTTCCCGTAATGACTTGGCCAGAAAACAAAGAAAACTATTCCTAAACCAAATCCACAGAAGCCTTTGTACTCTTCCAGTGTATTTTTAGCACAGCATCAATAACTTTCTGAAGTGTTGAGTCATAAAAATCAAATAATCAATGCTTTTGTTTCTCTTCCTTAGTACTTAGTATTTTTGATTACAGTTATAGGATTTCTCATTTAGAAAAATCTTTAGGAAAATTTGGGGGTTTATTTTAATTTCACTGTTCCAGTCAGTGCCAGTGGTCATTCAGTCAGGCACTAATTGCAGCRCTTTTTTTACAGCCCTTCTGTGCTGACAGAGTCACATAAAGACACTTCTGTATAAAGGATAACCCCGTCCTTAGTTCTTGTGTTTAATAATTCCATTTAACTAAATGGCATCAGAAATGGTAGACTCCAGTGCATTCTTTTTCAGCAATTATTTGCATCACTCTCCAACAAAGCATATAAGAAAGAAGTGCTTAGTTGGAAGTAATCTACTACTTTTATCTTTTTTGCACTTATTTGTTATCCTAATAATTTACTTTAAAAAAGAGTGAGTAGATTTCTGAAAACACTTTTCTGTATGAGTTACCCTGTGTATGCCAGGAGAGTTCTTGCATAAATTTGTAGGTTTGACTGATTAAATGTTTTCCTTTCATGGGCATTTTTTAAAAAACTTTAGTGGGAAATGTCTATATTTGACAAAATCCCTTATAACAGATAATAATATTTTTGAAGCAAAACTACAAAAATATTTCTAAATACATATATCTTTACTCAAACTGTGAGTTTTAAGGACCTGGGAGGCAAGGTCAAAATTTACCATAAAAAAAGGAGTAACRTTATCCAACTTGCCCCTAAAGTCTGGTTATTATACTGGGACTTGCATGTGCTTGCATGTTGACCTTGCAAGGGCTGCACTTTTAAGTGGAATGCTTTCTTCTGTGCTTCATGTCAGCCGGTAAGAGTGGATGGTCACTACTGAAGTGGATGAACAGTGTGGCTGAGCAAACACATCTTCCTCATAAGTCAGGAAGAACATGGTTGGATGGAGAAACTCAAACAGATCATAAATGTACATCATTAGCTGTTAATGAGAAGGGAAGGCTATTTTTTTGAGAATTTACCTCAATCGCCAGAAAGAGGTTTGATATATTTCAGATGTTGCCCTGGCATAAACCATAGAAGCTGGGTCTGTTACACAGAATTAGGGCCCTTCTTGTTAAATGGAGYCATAGATATTGCTGAAATAATGTCAATGATGTTTTGGAGAGTAGATCCAAGATTTAAGTGCTACATTATTTGAATGCTACTGGCCAGCTTATTGCTCAGTTCCTGCATAGGAGAATGCAAGCTCTACAAAATCAAATATTGCAGCACAAGATGAGAAATGTCCTTTCAATCTTCTGCTGTGAGGTCTTTGTTCCAAATACAAGCCAATCTCTGACATTCCAGTGTTAGGGTCAAAAGCAGCAGCACAAAAAAATTTGGAAAATGCTGTCTAAAACAACATAAACAAAGGAATAGTAGAACACAATGTATTTTACTTKCCTTGTGATGTCTGCCTATGGGTAGAACGTGACTAAAGCACCAATCTACCCATTTTCCAAAATAATTATCACTACAAAGACTTGTAATTAATCTTTTTTCATTTATTACAGTGTTGTATTATTATTTTCTGTGCCAATTATCTTCAATTGTATTAATGAATGTAAAAAGCAATCTTTCTAAGACAATAAGTCAGCATGTTATTTCTTTATCTACTTCTGTCCTTCACTGTGCATAAAAGAACTGGAGCAGAGTAGGACTGCAAGGAGTAGAATCAATTCAACCTTTAAGTATCTTTCTTGGAAAATTTTCAGACTCCAAAGATGAATACTCATGTAATATCAGCAGGGTAAAGCCTGGGAGSTCTGCCCATCTCATGTATGATAAGACACAAATGAGTTTTTCAAATAAACCCCGGAAAAAAATAAAACAAGAGAAAACAGTATGGTTCACCAGAGCAGGGTATTAAGAGCAGCTTGCCTCCATCCCTTAGGCAGTTGGCATGTACAAGTTGAAACACTCAACACCTCTGGCTTCCTTGTGGGCATTATCTCTAGAATACATTCAAAGTATAACCTTGAGATGATAAATTTATAGAATAAAACACATGGAAGAGATTGGAAAAAGTCTTGGTCAATGATTAAAAATTTGTACCAGCGTGATACCATTTATTGTGCGTATCACTTCCTTAAGACACACTAGTTTTTTAYTAAAGTTATCAATACATATTCACTGCTTTTTCTTGGTGGTAAATCCAGAACTTCTTAGTGACGATCATTGGTGGCTTTTTGATGTTACCTCCTTTATTCTTATGACAGAAAATTTCAGGTAAAGTTGGAAACACAATCTTGTGCATTACATCTTTACCAAAAGTCTGAGCACCAGTGAACCATAGATTCCAGACCTTGAAAGTWGTGCAACCGACACCCTTGCTGCATAATTTGAAAAGACTTTAATCTACTACTGTGAACTATTAGCAGCMGAAAGCAAAAAAATCAAAACCACTTAATGATGATTTTCATATGTGTAACGTACAGAAAAAGGAAAAATTCATAATTTTGAGTTTCACTTTCATATGGAAGGAGTAGTTTGGTGTCAGATAACAGATGCTAAGTGTTATCATGCTAAAGAGCTCAGAGTTTAAAGGAAGGAATAAAAAAATATAAGAGTTATGTAATTAAGAAACATATAAAGAATGTTTAAGAGTATTGAATTAAGGTCAGCTATCCAATTAAAAGGTGAATGCTCAGGCAGTGTATAAGCCAATCAAAAAATTCTACAAACATTAACTGATTTTCGTAAAATCATTGTGAAACAAGGAGAAAATTATTGCCACACTTTCCTTCTCATCAGAACTGAATATTAGGACTTAAAATGTGTCACACATCAGTTCTACTGGTGAGTCTTGCAAGTAATAGTARTAGTAATAGTCAAGATTACCCTCTGGTTTTGATGCTTCAGTTTGGATTTCACAGCCACCATCRGGAGTTTCTCTATACACTATTGAACCATCATTTTACTTCAAGCCAAAGTTTTCTTCAAAGTAAACAGAAAATTTCAAAATATTGAAACAAAAGGTATAACATCATCTTGCTTTCCTAGCAATCTACAAATTAGCTTAATTTACAAAGTACCTGTGATTCTCAATACAGTCATTTCTCCCTTTTTTCCCTTTAATTTATCTAGAAATTAGAACAGAAAATTTAGAAGTTATTTTTCAGAAATTAGTGTTAAAGTCATTGCAGGGGATGAGAAAAGGTGGGGTAAGTTAGCCAGCAGCAAAAAATTCCACTGTGAAACCAAAGACTGGCACCTAAGGAATAAATGTTTGTTCCTCAGACTAACCACAAATTTTGTTAGGAAATATGATTTTACCCTTCTTCTTTTAAACCAGATTAGTGGGTAATGTTCTGATTCTTGRAACTGAGAGAAGCAAAATTGCTGGATGCTGCAGGAATGTGATTTTTTAGTATTTTTTAGTCTTATCAGACTTATCAGATCTTTGTCATTAATAAAACTTTAGTTTGAATAAATATTTCAGGATTCAGCCCATGTTTCTATCTTATGGTTTATTTTCTACAAACTCCAGAGCAAGTGAAAACACAGAGCAAACAAAAGAGTAATTGGCTGATGGACGTTTTTAGTTTCGTTTGAAATAGGACTTCACACATCTTAAAAGCATGACTCATGTTGTGCCTTTTTGGGTTTTTTTTTCTATTTTACTGTGGAAAATGTCTTTCCTACTTGAAGAAAGTTTATTTTTGTGTCACTTAGTGTGCCCTTAGATCAGATCTTCCTCCATGCCAGAGTGAAGTTTGTCACATGCATAAATGCTGCTCACAGGAGCATAAGGGGTATTGTGTCAAGTCCTTTCTAACAATTTACATCATTGGCCAGTGGTGGAGGAAAGATGAGTGATGCCACCTCAGCCATGGYCATGCCCAATTCCTTTGGTTTTTGAGCTATAATGGTTGCAGAAACAGCTCTAAGAGAGAAGGAGCACTTTAGAAATTTCTGAATTGAGACAATGGCAGACGAAACACTGAAACAGAGTACAGGAAGAAAGTATAAAGTGTGGACTGGCTCACGAGGCACAGATTTTCCCCTCTAGGTGAAAGCATCAAACTTAGCACAGAACTGGGGCATCTGAAAAATCTCTGTTATCACTGTTCCTGTTCAGGATGCAGCATGAAACTTGGTGATAGCTAGTCCRGCTGCACACATCATAAAACCCTTGTTATAGTTCTCAGTTGTTTACAGCTTAACATAAATCAGAACGGGATCTGAAACAYATCGTACAACTTGAATTGGAGTCACAGTCTCAATACAAGAGATTGTTTCCTTTCACCAAAGTGGTGAAGCTAGAGTAGCAGATCTTTAACATCCAGCCAAATATGGACAAGAGGGAGCTCTATACACAAATACTTCTAGAAATAGAATTAGATTCATTTTCAAATAGAAATATCACTGAGCATACACGCAGACATTGCATCTGTACGGGAAATGGGCATTTCCCACCTTCATAATTACATAGGACTATAGAAAGTAAATTTCTCACTTACCACATAGCACTACTTGCAATAACAAAATGAATTTTATCTTCTGAGTCTCTTTCTTTTGCTGGAATGGAGGTGGGGAAGAATCCAACTCGGTTCATCAACATGTTTAAATAGTGTCTTTGAGAAAGGATTCAGAAGCAAATATGTACTGTTGCACTGGGCAGCTGCTCTTGCGGATTTCCAGTTAAGCAAACATCTATTGCAAGGTATGTCTCGTAACAAGGTTGTTTTCTTTAGGCTTTTTCTAGGGTCATGGTCGTCACCTGGGAAGTGTGGTTTTCAGATTTATGAAATTACTAGTCAGTATTTGTGCACATGAGCAAAATAGTATAATAAGCAATAGTGCCGTATGAATATGCAGCACATAAAGCAGAGCAATAATTCCCTGTGAGAATTGTTGTTTTCCAGATTTTACTTCAAACTCTACTTAACAGAGTCAAACAGAATAAGTAACAAAACTTATGCCATGGTAAACAATTTTTAGCATTTTAGAGGKAAAAAAATTAAGCTGATGGTGACAAAATAATTATATAATACAGCTCTGTTTCATCAATACCTGTATGTTTAATTTCTAATCACTTTCAGCAGGCAAGAATGGAGTAAAGAAGGATGAGTTTTTGCAGGAATGGTGCCTGCTCATTGTACTGTCTTCACAATCTTCCCTGCCATCTTCATTCAACTGATTGAGCAAGGAAAAATCTTTTATTAATAGGATTTGATTAAAAGAAATATCAATTTTGCACTGAAAGCCAAGACACCTTTAATACTTGAAGGGTTTTGTTAAAAAAAAAAGTTAATATAGTAACAAATTTTTCTCATTAAGTACAATTTTAACCAACATGGTAAATACATTTGCTTTCAAGCTCAGAAAGACAAAACTATCCATTGTCTGGCTTCTTGTCTCTGATTATTAACCACTGTATTTGAATTGAAAATTTGATTCACAATTTTCCCACTTTGACAGAAGCTTGACTACTTGGGCTATGAAAAGATTCTTTATGCCATTTTAATAAATATATAATAAATAATTATTTTTTCATCACAGATTTTGACAATAACTCTTACTTCTTCCTGAACAGACACACTACAGTTTTTTTTAATTAAACCAAGAAATTTTAGGGTCTTGTGCCTTAGAGTCTCATTACTTCTTGGATTTTCTATTTCAATTAAGTTTTACCGCAGGTAAAATACAAAATCAAATTTTGTCTGAGAGTTCTAGTGAGCAAGGACTTTGATAAACTCTGTTAATTTAGGATTAAAGAGAGAACTAAAAGCCAGAAGTAAAGGCCTTTTGATAGCAGTAGGGGATGAATAATGGGAAATGTTCTTGCTGTGGACTAATCAGAGTGTAATTGCTAAAGGAGCCAATCTTTCATTAATTGCAAAGGCAGTAAACTCAATCAGTCACAGTGTCAAAATATTGCAGTTCAGTTAAAKAATTTTATTGAACTAATTGATTTAATTGTTTTAACTAATGTCCTTATAAGAGCYATTATTAAGAAACATTATTCTCAATATAATTTTCTGAAACATAAAAACTTTTTATGAGGCAAATGATTTTCATTTCAGGAAAAGATTAGACAATGGTTTTGATTTAAAAGAGCATCTTGACTGGGCTATATTTCATTACAAATTACCAGTACTTGGTTTTGAATGTCRTCATAAATAATGTGAAGCATTTTGTAAGTAAAGGGTACTTTACTTAGCCTAGCTTAAACATTTCTGATGGTATTTTCTCTGAGTCAGAAAGTTTGTTTCATCTAATCTCCTAATCCAGATATAATGGACCAGGGAYGCCTGCCTTGTGCTTTTGCACACCCTCCTTCCACTCCTGCTTAGCCATGAGGCGACATTGTACAAGTGCTGTAATTTCCTTGCTAGTTCTAGAAATTCAAACTCATTAATTTAAATGGTAATAACCAGCCCTGGCTTACYTTCCAGTCCTTGGCCTGTTTATTGCCACTTGCATCCCCCTCTCCCATCTGCCAGGTGTTCATGCAGCCACACAGTGAGAGGGAACAGGACAACACTCTGCAGTAAAACAAACCTCCTTTATTTTTTCCCTCCCATATGTATTTATGACTATTTGCAGACACTGGGGAAGCAGTGGGAATGAAAACAGTGATTGGGTTAGTGGGAAGGTGGCACTGCCTCTTTTTAGCATCAGCATTTGCTGATGTTGACTTAAGCRAGTCGTGGGACTACAGAATTAGCATCACTCCTATGAGGCTCAAACCCAGCTGGGATCTGTGGAGCAAGAAACAGGAGCCCAGGTACGCCAGCCACTGGTTCCCTTCCTTTCCCAACAGTAGGCTGAATGAAAAGTTTGTTTCGCTGACACCAGTTCTGATGCAATATCTCTTAAATTCAAAGCCAGAGAGACAGTGCTGGATGTAACCCTATACAAACTGCAAGTGCAGTGTCCTGGCTGTGTCTGTGTAAACTTTCTGGTCTGTGACAGTGACAATAAATATTGACATCATTTGAAAGCCAAGCAAACTGTTTGGGAGGCTTTCACGCAACCATGAACCTTCAGTGTGTTTCTAGCAATATCCCACTGGTCATCGAGTCGCAGACAAACCTGTGACGTAAGTTTTTTAGGGGAAGGTAATGTAACTTGTTAGATCTAACTGTAGAATTCGGGAGGAAAAAATTACATTTCTAGATGACAAAAGGAAGAGTTTGTTAGTCTTTCAGAAAAGGTGCACAATCAAGGAGGTAGCAACACCGTTCTCATAAGATGACTTGTGTTGGTTTGTTTTTTTGTGTGTTCAGAATGTCAYTTGAAAGACTTCCTGCCATCAAGTTGTGGAGTCAGCATAGCTCAGGGGTCTGAAAGGCTTTGACCAAAATGCCTTGGAAGAGTCTTAGTCACAGGTATGCAGAAACTCACTGCAGCTCCAATACGAAAATAGGGTTGTCATTGCTGTTGCTTTATCACTGATTATTTAGCTATTACATATAGCTCTCCTGTGGCTTTTCCTCTCAATCAAACACCATTATAATAACAATCATACAGGCAGGTAGTACATTACTCTTTCCAATTCACATTTTTTAGGAATGAATAGAGCTTAAAACTCAGGAAATCTCAGGACTGGAATTCATGAAGGCACTTCCCCATGGAAGGCCTCTCCGGATTAGGCGTGGTACTGAGAGAGGGAGGACASTCCGGGTCAGATACAGGCTACCACCACATGAGGCTGCTAAACTCGGTGGATCAATGGCTTGATGAGAGAGGGCAAAGCCTTGCAGAATTTTCACAATTTGCTCAGCGTAAAAGTATGTTTTGCACAGGGTAGCAGGAGGGATATAAAAACATGACAGCGTAATAAACATGTTTCAGCTAGTATAATAAACAGAATTTGGAGCCTTCAGAGCTGAGCCAGATTTCTCTTTCAAAGAGGAAAATTGCACAGCCAGGCATTGTCTYATATGACAAATGATAATAATGAGCAATAACAAAAACATGAATCATAGTTAAAAGTCATCTGGCGATTTTAATTTTTTTTTTTACCATCTATAAAGCATTATAGAAAGTCACTACCATGGGGTACAGTACAGYATCAAGAGAAGGTTGTGGAATGAGACACAAAGCCTTTCCAGCTATGAAGTTTCAAAGGAAAAAATTGTAGGAACAAGAATGTGTCACATAGATCATGTTTTTCATCTTTTTAACACTTTTTGCATTGTCTTTTGTTTCACGGGGCTTTTTTATATCATTAAATAKCTGATAAATGGCAGACAGTTTTTCTTGAGGATTTTGCATGCTCCTCTCCTGCTTAGCCTTGAATGTACTCACCCCTGTGATGTCTGAGTGAAATAGGGATGTGCTACATTCCCAGTTTTGCAGATTGAGGACTGGGCAGCAGAGAGTGGTTTAGATTCACCAAGGACATTGCAACATGTGATTCTGAGCTGTTGTGAGTTTATCTGGAAGGTGTGTTTTGGACAGACATGCACCAGCACTGCCCAAGCTCAGTCAGTCCAGCCCACAGAAACCTTAGGAATGCAACAGAGGAGAACTGAAGCTTTGTTAGGCTGTCACATCTCACACCATGCTTGGTGTATTTTGAACAGATTGGGCAGATTGAGCAGTGAGGAGTTTTTGGCATTGCAGAGCCAGGGCTGCCCAGCTGCTGAGCTGCTTAGCCCTGCCCAGGTAGGGGCCATGCCAGACACTCTCTTCCCAGGGAAAATGTCAGTGCCCAGCACATTGGAGTGTGAGCACTGACTGCCACTCTGGTGCCTAAGCTCTCCATGAACGTTACCTTAGAGCTCTGTTCAATAAGGAGGCAAAGTCTGCAGCAAAACCGGGAATAAAGTTTTCTGTCCTGGATGAACTGCAGGACTCCTGGGAACACACTGGGAGCAAAGCATGTCCCTCTCACTGCCAGAAGAGTGGAACAGGCTCAGACTCTGCTGGGCCAGAAATGTATTGGTTTTACCTCTCTTTCATTGATTTTAATAAACAGGAAATTGATGTAAGATGTCAACACCATATGTCTCCAAAGGTGTGCTTTTATTCTTGAGTGAAGATTAAACTTTTTAATGATGTCACCTCATTGTGACTGCTTCTAAAAAGTTGACTCTGCTTTCAGGGTCGGTGAAATGTTTTTAAGTGGTGCAAAGAATTATAATACTGTTCACACAGCACAAACAGCAATATTGGTCTCTCACGAAGTCTGCTAATGAAAGGGGAATCTGATTGTTCACTCAGGCTGATTTTAATCCCATCTAGTTTACATGAACACCTTGTTACTATTATACACAGAATTGTAGTCATGGGTCCTTAAAGATTACTGGTGAAACTTAGCAGTAGCTTTCTTTCCATGTTTTATAAAAACTTGTGCCTCTCTTGTGCTTCCAAGGAGAACCTGCCTCTCTCTTCTCATATTCCCATTAAGTTGCTGTAGACAGCAATAATATCTCTATTTATCCTTGTTTTCTGTAGGCTCACCAAGCCTAACTCCTTCAACTTTTCCTTGTATGCCTGGCACTCCACCACCATCTTGTTGTACTCCTTCTTGGGGGAGAAAAACTGAAAATTTCCTGATGGAAGGGAATAATCTCTTCCACACCTTTGACCTGGTAGCTGCACTCCAGCTAAAACCATCCAGATGGTTTCATGAGAACTCTTGCAGGCCTTTACCCTGTGAGCCTGGTGTCAGGACTCATGATGGCCAGGCCTTCCATATGGAGGCATTTGGGAACTGTACACTACTAAACAAATACAGGCTCTTGTGGCTCACTAAATGTGAACAAAAATGTTCCATGTGTTCCCTATTAAATGATGAACAGTGAGGTGTTCCCAGTCTGTGTGACTGGAAGTGTCTTTATCTCACAATAGAGTACTGTAGATGCCAGCTATAGTGGACACATGTCTGACCATGCAAGGGGACAGTAACTGGGCTCAGGGAAGAGGGATCCATAAGCAGGCTAACCTRTTCCTGTTGGAAACCTTTCCTTACTCACAGCTGAAGGGCCTCCATGAGATGTGGCAGCAGAGGTGGAAACCACCCAGCTGAAGTGTTCTGGCAGGTTGGATCTGAGCTGGGCTAACGCTGAATCAATTGTACAGGATGCAGCTGCTGTGAAAACTAGCCTTCTGAAATGAGAATAGAGATCAAAATATTAAACTAAGTTTAAATTTWTTTTTTTTTTTCTGGGCCTGCATGTTTTCCAGATCTGAAAAGAAACAGAGGCACCAAAGCCATGCCTAATGTGTGCTCCTTGGGCCCCTGAGTTTCACTGCCCAAGTCACAGGTGTCAAACCAGTGGCACATTTGASAGCCTCAATCACTTGGTCACTTTGGGCAGAACGTGGCAGCAGCTATGAGAAACCCCAGGCACTCTGTAGTCAGCTGAAAATGCAAATGCACAAAATGCCCTTAAGCAAAAGACACAGTGAAAGGAGACTGGATTGACTTCAATAAGACTTCTCATATAATTAATTTMAGCAAGGGTCTAGACTAAAGGGATATAATATCTCAATATTACTCAGTCAGCTAATATATTTAAAAACATATAAAATCCTGGTGTTACATTTCACTACTTAGTGAATTCATCATTCCTTTGCCATGCAGCTTTGTTTGCTCATGGACAATGTGTTCCTCCTAGCACATGGGGACACTTTCAAAGCTAACAACAGACACAGGCTTGTGGTGAAAATCTTCAGGTAACCCCTGCCTGCCTTTGGTCAGGAAACGCTTGAAGCCAGGAATAATTGCCCTGACAGTGCAAGATGTTCCCAAATGTGTTCTGAAAATAATGGGGGGNGGGGCCGGGAAGATGACACCAGTGAAGTAATTCTTTTAGGTGAAGATGTGCAACAACAGAAGGCAGGGGGTAAAAATCTAGAGGATGTTTTTGTCTGGTCCTGATATCATTCAAATAGAAAAAAAAAAAAGACAGAAACATTTGTGTGTTTTTTCTCTGAAATAGCATGAGTAATACCTTACAGTCTTCCCAAAGCCCAGACTCATCCCATAAGCCTTTAAGCAGCAGACTGAAGCATATTAAAGAAGCTAGCTAGTGACCATAAGCCCCTTCTACAAGGCTTGAATCATTTTTGGAGATGTTCCTCTCTCCTTCCATAGAGATTATGCAGACACTGAGGTAAATTGCCTCCATTTGTAGTCATTGCAGTGAATTGCCTTTTGTTAGGTGTTATGAACCTCCAATTTTCCTTTTTACTTAAAAATATTGGGCTGTAATAAATACTTACACCCTGCAGTGGCAGGAATCGTTTCAACAGGAAGAGGTGGCAATGTCACAAAGGAAATATCCTCTGCTGTCTGTAGATATTCTGAACGTTATAARTACACTAAGTCAAAAAGCACAGTAATAAAGCAGTTAATAATTGTAAATTATAGTCATGACTCTGAAATTTATGTTTCTTATTACAAATCCTATTTCATAAAATTAATCCCATAAGTGATTTTAACCACTTTGGTATTGTCTTTTAGCTCTTCCTTTTAGCTCACTGTAGCCAATTGCAAATGCAGCTTTTCATACTTACTCTGTGAAGCTCATTATTGCCAGAGAGACTTGAAATAAACTTGTGGATAAGAATAAATTCTGTTTTCTGAAAGGAAACACAGGATGTTGCAACCTCTTTCAGAACATGCCAGTTATTCTGCTACACAGATACACTTACCAGCTATCCTCAAATCTGTTTTGCAAAATTTGTGGATATTAATATTTTAAAAGAGCACTTTGAGCTCTTTTGTGGGTAGCTATGTATTTACAGTGTATGTGTGAAGACAAAAAGACTGCTTTAGCCAAAACCTGCCCACTTTCTTCAGCAAGTCTCTTCAAGAAGTCAATGGACTATTGAATTCCTCGGTAAGTCCTTTTTTTAACTTGCTCCTGGCACAGGGAGTGTTGTTTGCCCAATGTCTGGCCATGTCTCACCTAATTGCATTCCTGCCATCAGTATTTTGGAAAACACCTTTAATATCTTTGTGTTCATGTCTGGGGCACTGAGCAGTTTCACAGATTCATCAAACCCCTGGTTGGAAGGGTCATGTGAAGAGCAGCAGGTCCACAAGGAAGGGTTGACACGAACACCAGGTCAGTTCAGACATGGCTTTACCTTGTAAAGTCTCAAAAACCTTCAAAGACATCACTCTGCAGCCTTTGCTCCCTCAGCAAGCTGTTCCCAGGTTGTGCTGCCATTCTCCTCAYGTCCAATGTGTACCTCCCACACTCTGGTGCTTCCTGCCCCATGTCTGGGCTGTCTGGCCCTACTGAGAAGAGTCTGCCTCTGTAGTCTTTGTAACTGCTCTTCAAGTAGCTGTAGCTTGCTCTCGTGCCACCTTTTGGCTTCACCTAGGTTAAACAAATATCCCTTTCCCAAACTTTTCTGTTTTGTAAAATCCACGTTTCTGTCCAGCTGAAATCATGCAGCACCTTCAATTTGCAGAATCTAAGAATTCTGGTTGCTTGAAATGCAGGACGTGACACTGTCCCTTTTGGCCTTAAACTTTAAAAAACTGTGGGAAAAAAAAACTCTAATCTTTAATGGGTATTTCTAACGACAAAACAACAGTTAAATTAGCAACAGTTAAGGTAGCAACAGTTAAATAATACAGAAAAGGTAGCAACAGTTAAATAATACAGAAAAGATTCTTGCAAAAAGCTTCCTAACCCTTTCAAAATGGGGATTTGGACCTCTGCACACATGTGTATGGAGGGTCAGGTGCTTTGAATGCAGCTGGTTTATCATCATCAGGGTTACTTTGCCTTGTAGTGTATCAGTAAAGCAGAGAGCCACAACAGCATTGCAAATTACACTTTGCTTTGCTCTATGAACTGTCTCAGTGACAATGAATACAGAGCAAAAACTAAATTCAGAGCTACAACAAAATCTCCTTCAACTTGAGAAGATAGTATTTGAGCAAGAGGAAAACACAAAGACTGTTCTGTCAAGGGGAAAGTATCATGATTCAGAGAGCAGAAATTACTACAAAGCAGGCATATTCTGTTTTTTTCTGGTTTTTTTTTTTTAATTTTTTTTTTTTAAATTAGTTTGTAGGTGAGAGTGGTGTTTCCTGTTTGTAGAAAACAGGAAAACATTAATGAAACATTTAACACAACCCCAAGTTCCAAGAAAAACAAGGCCAAAATACAGCGGAAAATGTACTTATTATTTTGGTAAACACATCTCCAGCATGTTCAGTACAACCTGATTTCATGCTGTACAGCCTTTTTGCCAAACTGGACTCCAGGCATAGCAATGTAAGCAGCCACAAGGACAGCAGCACAGCCCTGACCTGCCTTGCCCAAGCCCAGATCCTGGAGATTGACCCCCAGCTGCATGGAGGACAGCAGCTGGGGCAAAGACAGGCAGCAGAATGATCCCACAAATTAACAAAGAGCTTTATTTAGTAGCTTTTGGAAGAAAAGTAGCCAAGACTACAYTTTGCCCTTCTTTGAATGTCAGTTACTCTGACTGCATGACTCTGGGGCAGAGCATGTCACACAGAAAGCTAGTTCCAGCTACAAGAGGCAAGGGTGTGATGGGTATCACAAAGTTGTGCTTTTTTTTTTTTCATTGTTTCCAGCATTCTGATCAGGAACTTAATCCTGTTCTTTGTCAGAAAACAAAAACAAAATGTATTTTTTTTCTTTGAACCCTTGCGTGACCTCATGCAATCCTAGCAAATACAAAGTTTTCTTTACAAATAGTGAAATCAAACACAGCTAAGCTGAAGACAAGACAGAAAGACCTCTGCAGTCCTATGCTTACCATGTTCCTCCCTTCAGTATGAAGATTGGACACTGATATTTGTGCTCTGTTCAAAGTCTTTCCTGATGAAAATAAGCAGTACTTTTCTAGTTAGGGATAAGATAGAACTGGCAGAGTCAAAAAAAAAAAAAAAAAAAAAAAAAAAAAAAAAAAAAAAAAAAAAAAAAAAAAAAAAACAAACAAACAAAAAAAAAAAAACGATGTTAAAACTTGTCAGCTGGCTCTTCTCTGACAAAATTGCCTGCAAGTAAATGGATCCTGCCAGCTCCACCTGCCTGTACACCTTGCTTGGCCTCTTTGGGACATCAGGTGCTAGGACGGGAGCACTGCTGAGCACCATCAACTCTGATGATTCCATTCCCTCATGCACTGAGGAAAGATACTCAATTACCCTGGTGTGGCTACAGAGACAATTGTGCCGCAGAGCTTAGACTCAATGGGAATCAGACACATACATTGATACTTGTGGCATTTGAAAAGGAAATTAACTCTAATCTTGACTATTATTTATTTAATCAGGTTCAAAAAAAAATGTATCAGAAGTAATTTTCACAGCTGCTGCTGATTTGTTAGTACATCTGTCCCCAAATCTCCCTGCTGTTTTCTTTACGGTTTGCAATCTTCCTTTGTTTAAAGAAATGTTTTCTTTTCTCTCCCCTATTGTTACATGAAAGAGCCCATGAGCAGCAGTACAACAAGGAGGCAGCCCATACCCACASCCCTGTCCAGTGTGCAAAGCAAACAAGCTCAAGCAGAGCAGAGCTGTCTCTCCCAGCTCCCCCTGCAGCTCTGCTTTCCCACCCTAGGAGTTGGCATAGGGCAATTTTGTGCCAGACTTCTGCTGAGAGCTGCCTTAATACATTAGGGACACCTATTGTTTGTCATATGCGTTAGAGGGAAAGCCTGTTTCCCTCATTAGACCAACTGATGAAATGGAAAACACAGGGAGCTTTCAGATTCAAAGTCCATTCAGCCAGTCTAGGCCCAAAAATTCGTTCATTTTTCCAGCAATGTGCTTGGTTTAAATAAAGATAGGACCTCCAGCTCCAAACCTTGCACCTCTTAATCTTTGGACTGCACTACTTTTGGCAGCGTATGATATGACTGGCCGTAGAATCAGTTGTCTTTTCATGGGAATGCAGAACTGAGGGAGACAGAGCTTATTTTTGTTAAACTATTTGTCTGAGTCTATATTGGAACTCAGTTTTTATCGGAGGAGGCTCTGAAATCAGCCCACCACAGCCAGTGCTGGCAGCAAGGAAACAGAAGCTCTGGTYGTAGTGGAGCACAGTTGGGTTCACACAGGTTGTCACCCAGCTTGAGCTAAAACAGTCTGAGTTCTCCACAGGAAACTCAAAGAATTAAAAATTACATCCCCTCACTTGCCCTCCTGCCTTCAGAGCCAGGCCAATCTGAGGGCTTTAATCAAACAGCCTACATGTYAAAGAGGGCTGGAGGGTCACTTGTGGTTTTTAATTATGGCCATTATGTAACTGAATAAAATTCCACAGTAACTTCTGCAGAATTACAGGCACATCACACACAGGTGATGAAATACTTTTTCCTAGGCCTATACTGCCATTAAATGAATAACATTTGTACTGGACATATACCTCCTCGACTGCAATCACAGTAAACATCTGAGCTGGGAAACTAAGGCACAGGTCAAACAGCCCGTTTGAAGGCACACACTGAGGAGCACGAACAGACAGTCAGTGCAGGTGGAGCTCTGCAGTCACACAGGTAAGAGCAGCGTGCAAGCACACAGGTATTTCCCCCAGATATTTCCAGCAAGCCTGGAACTTACTTTCCAGGCTTATTATTACTGTGCTGCTGCAGGTTTAATGCATGTGCATTATTCAAAAATCCAGACTGTCAAATGATAATGTGAAGCGTTCTGAAGATAAGCATTTTGTAATAGGGCTAAGCTCAGAAAGCAAATAACTCCAGTAACTGAGATGTTTGCCCGCCTTTATTCCACATTTTTTTAGCAGAGCTGACGCAAGCTGATCAAAGGGAGTTGCTCATTGGTTCATTCCATACACTCCCATTTGTCTTTAAATCACTCTTCGACTGCTCTAGGTTGCATATGAGTAAACTTTTTCTTACAGGTGGAATTCCTAAAAGATATAACCTGCCTAGCAAGTGAGGAAAAGAACCTGCTCAACTCAGAGGTAAACTTTTTTTCTTTGTAACATTTGATCAATATATTTTAGACACTGGATACATCCTCAGAAATTGGAGATTATAAATTTAATTAATCTGTAAATGTAAGTTCACTGTGAATGATGGGGTCCTTAAGATTTACTGACATGGTAATTTGTGCTGGAAAATATCTTTGGTATTTCTTCAGGAATGAAATTTAGTCTTCTCTTTTGTACAGAAAATCAAAACCTAAGCAACCATAGAACCAGCAAATGTGTTCAAAATTGCCCAGTGAATTACAAAATGAATGATTGCTTTGCTCTGCAGCCTTTGGATAACTTCTAAGAATTTTTTTTCAAAGCTCTTGAGTTAGTTGGCTAATATGTCTTTAAACAAATGAGTTTGTGAAAGCGGGCTTTACATTTTAATGGTTTATTCCACAGTTGCAACACTTATTTAATTTTGAAATAGCCACATAGAGTATAATATTATAAAGTCACTGTCATGAAGATGAAGAATCTGGCAAAATCTGCTAAATTGGATACCATGGAGGAGATTACAGATATTGATATTGCAAAACCCATGAAAGTGTTAGACAGATCTGTGACCTGGCATTATTTGCCCAGTGGTTGTCCATTCGCCTAATGTTCTAACTGCAGACTGGACATAAATCAATAACATTGGGAAATCACATGCCAAAAATTTCATCATTTTCCAAATCATTGCTGAAAACCATTACTTAATAGATGATGCARAATCGTACCCTGTACTTGAAGAGGAAAATTAATTTTATAAACTCTAATAACAAGTGAATTTCCTTTGCAATGAGTGTTTCCATCTTAATACCATACTTTAAGAAAAATCTTTTCTGTTYAGCTAAATGCTACAAAAGGCAGCAAAAACATCACTGTGCTAAAGCCAAGTTTGAGAGACACTGGAAATCAAAGAGATTTCTCATTTATATTTAGGCGTCAAATTCATAACTCTGAAGCAGAAAGCATTAAATCCCAGGGAAGGTAAAATAGATGMACTTTAGTGTTTCTCCTTCAATATTACAGGCTGAAGTTCTGGCAGGGCAGGGCCCAGGTCTGCCCAGCCTTGGTGGTCATGCTTTTCCTCAGTGCCAGTGCCCCCCATAATCTAAATATCCTGCAGGCTGAGTAAGRACTCCAGAGGTGCAGGGTCACCCCATGTCCCCCCCAGGTGAAGAAGTGACAGCTCTGCCCCTCCTGTGGTGCTTGTGGGGAGAACAGGCTATCAGGGCTGTACATCTTCCCAAACCCCTCGGAGTCTGCAGCGCTAGGAATCTGAAAAGATGGATTGCCACCAACTAAGGGACCGGCCCTGCTGCAAAGTTTTACTGAAGTTCAGAGGCACCACTGGTCATAATCACAGTGATCAGTGTTTGCAGGATTCAAATCCAATGCCTGTTTCATGAGCCTCAGTCTCCCTATATTTATGCCAATGGCTTTCAGCTCAGGTTTGCAGACTACTTGAGCTCTACCAACCTCTCCCTAAAATGTTACAACTGCAAGAAAGCGGGTTCTGTGCAGATTTAATCTTGCCACCTGAGTGTTTGTACTTTCATGGGAAGAATTCTAGGATTTCACAGATTAAAAACAATAAAATAAACCAGAAAATCACTGCTTTATGAAGTAATATCACAGTCTCTTGATATGATACTCATAAATCAGATGACTCATGTAAATGTTTGACAGGGCAATGGCCGGATCATYCTTATACTGTAACATGTATTTTCAGTCAATTTTTCCAAATTGTTTGCTGGGCTGCACAGGCTTCCATCTTCAACCTAATCTTTGTGAAGCTTAATTCCTGGCAAATTTTTTGCTAGCTTTTCCTCCATTTCCCATAACTTTGAAGATCTGTATTTTTTGGCCACCTCTGGAAAAGACATATCTCCAACAATAGTTAGGCAGTGCACCCAGGGGAAATTTTACCCTCTACCAGAACAGGGATAAGCACAGTTAGATTTGCTTTTACAGCACAGGTTAAAAATAAGCATCAAGAACTGGAAAAAAACCTCTTTTTCTCAGAGAAGGCAATGTCTGTGTTTGAAGACAGTTCAAACTGAATGAAACCACAGTTGTTAGAGCTCCGTTGRGGGTGGAGGGATCGGAGAGGGGTGTTACTGGGTTTTTTGTCTTATGGAGTTRTTCATATCCAGAGCTGCCAGAATCCCCCAGGCACTGGAAGGTGAGTGCCAGCAGCACTGCCCTGATSCCTGATCCTCTCACACACATTCTGTGAGGCAGCAGAAAGAAATAAACCCAGCCASTCTGTGTGGTAGGAAATTTCCTAATGCACTGTGATATTTCTTCTCCTTTTCAGTTGTCTGGTCTGGGTGAATGCTTTTAGTCAGAAGCAAGGAATCTGACTTTAGTTTCTGGCCTGGAGTCAGTTTTAACCTCCAGGGTTGGTATTTAAAGTTCATATTTCCATTTTAAGCACATGCACTCCAAAATCTTGCCACTATAGATATGTTTGTAGATGTTCTTAAGAACAGCATGTGATCAGTATCAGAGGATAGTGAAGGTCTGGACAGAGCTRGACCTACACACCCACAAATTCAAACCCAGGAAAAAGATTATTAAATCATTGCAGATTTAGGGTTACAAAGAGCCAGCCTTCAAAATTATTTGTTTCAGTGTTTTCTGATATTGTTATAATGGAATGCTGAGCTGCATTCGGCATGTGATATTTATGAAAATGGTCATGAATCTGGCCAGTGTGCCTGATTGCAAGGCAGCAGATAAATGRCCAAAAAACTGTAACTGTGGCCCCAAGTGTGCCAACAATGTGCTTTCTGATCTGTGCTCACACTGGTATCCTCTCATGTGGGGTGGAAATATAAAATGCATCAAGGAATATCTTTAGGAAGGGAAAATCATTGTAGAACTGCATCATATTTTGCACAGTGTTTTCCTCTTGAATCTGGAAATAAACAAAAAAATTGACATGTGTATCTACAGCTGAGTCTGTAACACACAGCTGCTGAAATCCCAGAGGTGAAGTTCTCATCRTTAATTTGGGTTGTACATTTTCATTTGGCTCATACAAGAAATAAGGAATTGAGCATTTATTCACATGATTTTAGAAAGGCAGGAATTTTTCTAATGGGGAAAAAGTAATCAGTCTTATATCCATGTAATAATCCTGTATGAGACAGAGCTTCCAGTGATGGGTAAAATAAGAATTAAACACCACCGAAGAACAGAAACTGGCTTATCWGAATTGAACCTCCTAATTATCAAAAAATGGTCAGACAGAGATGCTCACCTCTGTCAAGATCCCAGTGAAAGTGACAAATCTACAAAACATTTAAACTTGTGACAACATTAATCTTAAAATGAATGGGAAAGCCTGCTATACTCTTTTTTTTAACAGCAAGCATTTCTATATCACCCTTCCCTAGAAAATCTAAAGCAGCAGTTCAGGAAATTATTTTCTGCTCTCTTTGTATTTTTTCCAGATGCTGGATATCCACTGTGCATCTGTTGGCCTCTGCAGTCTTTACCATTTGAAGGGAGACAGGAGGACCAAGAGCTGGCATATAAAGAGACTTTTATGCTTGCCCAGAATTTTCCCAGTCTGCAACAGTTTCCCCTCTTAATGCTATTACAAAGATCAAACACAAACCAAACAATTCACACTGGTTTATCTAATTTGAAGAAAACTCAAATGAGTTCTGTTGTGTTTTGTTTGCAGAACAGAGTGTTCTGACAGCCCCTGCATGACAGAGAGGACCAGCAAGCAGACGGTGCAGTGCTGTTTACCCTGAAGAAGAGTGTGTGTGTTGGAAAGCGCTGACCCTTCTAATGGATCGCATGGAGCTGCAAAAAGTCAACATCGAACCTGATGACCAGAGCAACAGTGGGGAAAGCCTTGAAGACAACTACACAGGGCTGGCTGATTCAGAAAAGGCTGCAATCAGCAGGTAAGCATTTATCTGTTCTGTTAGGGCTAGAAAGCAGTAATCAATAAATAAGTTTCACTAATGGCATCTTGGGACATTTTCCCACAGCACAGACCCTTCCTGCTCCATAGTCCGGAGGTTTATCCAGCACAGCAAGGCAGCTCAGGTCCCCCSTGGGCAGCAGCCACCACCTGGAGTGACTTCTGCAGGTTCCCAACACAGAGTACCCCTTGGCAATTTCCAACTTCTCCAGTCAGACAGTGTGAATTAGCACTGTCTCAGAGCAGTGCAATCTCAGCACACAGGGGGAATGATTCCGGGGCAGGGTATYGAGGGTAGCCAGGACAGTCCACTGTCAGGCATTCCCCAAAAACCCACCACAGCACTAACACCTGCATGGCTGGAAAAGCCATCTCAGAAGCAGTCATCAGTCTCCAGCTCTCATCCTGCTGCACCCCAAGTACAGCAGCTGCAAGGCCCCTTGCTCCTCAGACATGAAGTTTGTGCTCAGCTTCAGCATTCTGCTTTCCAACATCTGCAATCATATATAATCTGAAGGTTACTGGGTTTAAAGCTAAATTCCAAATTAAAGCAAAAATCTACTAAACATGCCATTGGACATGAGAACTTTACAGGAGAAAAGAGCTTTTTTTCTGAAGGATTTTTAAATATTCATTGCAATGTCAAAGGAAGCTTTTCACTGATGACAAAAGTGACTACTCAAATTAAATGTATGCCATAAGTTTTATCAATATTTTCTTGTTTTTCTTTGTGTTCAGTGTCTTTGCTAGTGATGATGCAGAAAGTCAGAAGTTCCTTACAAATGGAGATCTGGATAAAAAGAAATTAGAAGACTATAATGAAGAATATGTAAGTTTTATTTATTTTTAATGAACAAATGAATGAATAATTAGAAAGTAGATCTTATTGACCTGCATTTTTTCTAAAAGTTTCAGTAACCAATATTACTCTGGAGCTCAGCCAGCATAATTTTGGCTTTCAAATAAACACATTTTCTAACATTTAGTGTGACAAACYTTTCTGTTGTCTCACAAGAAAAACTGAATATTTCCTTCACAAATAATCAAAAATTCAATAATCAAAAATTCAATTCACAAATAATCAAAATTCCTCAGATCACACTTGAACTTCAGTAACACCTCCACGTAAAGTCAGTTGAGATGCTCAGCCAGGGTGGGTTTGCACCCATTTTCCTGATAAGACATTTGGCTCAGAATGATTTTGTTGTTGCTATATCCAGGTTGATGTGTGCCTTAGTGCACCCCTGCCTGTATTTCAAGTTTCCAGCATCAGTGTAAAGGAACCCACACCCAGCTCCATTGCTTTCAAGAAAGGACATCATTATTTTGGCTTCGTGATGCTGAACATTACATGGTCAGCATACCTTCAATACTTTAGACAACTCCACATGCAAGTGGAGGCACTGCACCTGTTCCTGGGGTGCACATGTGGGTACCTCTCTGCTCAGGATTTAATGTTATTCATTTCTTTCTGAATTTGGTGAAAAGAAAGGCATTCTTCTATCAGTTGTGTTACAGATTTTATTAAGGTATGATCACATAAAATCGAAAATATTATTTGTGATTGCAAGCTAAAATTGAGAGCCGTTTCCCTCTGTTTTCTTTTCCACTCAGTGTCTACCTCCTTCACACTCCATCCTCTCTCTCCTGAGTTTTGTCTTCTTCCACTCTTCTGCCTCCAGCCCTAAGCACTCAGTGCTCTTCACTTTCCTTCCCCAGACACACTTTTAGCTCCCCAAACAAAAAAGAGCATCCCTACTTGGAGGAAAAAAATCAATAATCTGTTGCATTATTGTTTTTTAAAAAGTTGAATATTTAAAAATCAATAATTGGGAAATCTATTTGTTAACAGCATATATTTCCATAGAGGCTGGCCAACACAGCCAGTGTGACTATGCCACCTTAGCTGCCTGTCAGGAATGTAGGCCTCCTCCTCACTGTGACAGCAAAAGAGTGGGAAGAGGCAAACACTACCAGCACAGCCATCTTTGGGATAAAGAGACCYCTTACGGTGGCAAGTGCCTCTGGGCTTGAGAACCTTGAAAAATCTCAACCTTTAAGGATCAAGGGAGCAATGASGATAGTTAGCCCATCATGCTCAGAAAAATGCAAATGAATTGCCATTTTCTGTTCTTGCATCCAACAGCACCGGGGGAGAACTTCCTTTGGAATGTCCTCGTTCAACCTCAGCAATGCCATTATGGGCAGCGGCATCTTAGGGCTCTCCTATGCCATGGCCAACACAGGAATTATCCTTTTCATGTAAGTACATAGAAAGAAAAACAAATAGAATATAAGCAGGGGTCTGGAGCTGAAGTCTGTATGGTTAGAGAGGTATGTTAAGCTTGGTTTGTTAGCTGTTGATTCTTCTAAGATCCTCTGCAATGAAAACAGTTTCGCTTCACCACAAGGAACCATCCACTGCTGAAAACCCTTTTATTTCTGTAATATTTCAGACCTCCTTTGTATTGGGAAAACAGAAGGAAAGAACAGTATATTGGTCCTAAAAGAGCAAGAGCAATCTTGCTGGTTCAGTTCAGGAATCCAACAAGGGAATTAAACCACTCTTAAATATATTTACACCAATGATCTAATCACTATGCAGAAATGGAAGAAGGATATTCTATATAATCTGAAAGGGAGCATGCTTTGAATGAAAAGGCATTCACAGTATTTAATGTTGCAGCTTCAAGTCTGTTTGTACCCAATGTGCACAAATGACAGCACCCGTCTGTGCCTGACAAACAATAACCACACAGAATGGGTTTTGATCAACAGTAACCTTTAGCCATGGGAAGTATTTTAATCAATGGCTAACCTCTGACTCATTTTAATGAGACAAACTATCAAAAGAAACATTTTGGTTTTCTTTTTTTAATAACAGATTTTAATTTTAGCTGAAGCCATAATTTTAAGTGCCGTGAGACTGGAATAAAGCATGATATTACTGTGTGACTATGGGYCATTTTTGACATTACAGAAATCTAACATCCTTTAGTTGTTTTTATACAGCTTCTTGCTTGTGAGGACTGTGACTATGACAGCAACAACGTTTGAAATGTTACATGTAGCTTCCAGTTGCTAAGAAACATCTCCTGTTTGGCCAGTAGAAATTTTAACTGGAAATTAATTGTAGATTCAAATGCTGTTCTGTGTAAATGCTTCATAACACCTGCACTCAAATGGTTTAGATACAGTATTTGATGAGTAAAAAAATGGAAGCCAGTTCTAAAATAATCTGCATCAGGGTCAGAAAAAAGTAGGAATGTAGGATYTTTTTCCTCCAGCTTTCTCTGAACTAGTATGTCCATGAATTATCACTGGAAAGAAAACCATGATATGTTAAGACTCACTAATGGGAAAATAAATATTACCTTTGTAATACCTTTATTCTGAAACTCCGTTCATTCTGGCAGCTGGCTATAAATTGTGAATCGAACCTAATGACATTAKCTCTGTTGGCAGTGCTAAATAAGAAGTAATGCTAAAGCAAAAAACAAAGGACATGTCCACCCACAGCTCACTTTCTTTATTACGCTATTTCCAAATTTTCTGCATGAGAACATTCTCCCTTCTGGTAGAGGAAAGAGTTTTATTTTAAAGTATAAACTTGTGTGTAGATATTGCTATCCCCACAGCATTTATCCACTTGCTGGAAGTTCCTCTGTTTTCACAGATCATAGTGTTAGTGTTAGTGGGACAAATCCCATCTACTAAATGGACACAACTGGACATTAATTCTAATTTAGACAGTGCTGACAGGATTGTCTAAATTTTTGTAACTTTGTGTTCTCATGTTGTCCACGTACTTTCATTCTGGAACACATTCTTCAGGGTGAAGGCTAAAGGAGGGCTCCTAAAACTCAGAAACTCCCCAGGTATTCCCATTACATCCCTCCCATGGGGGACGCTTGCAGAGGCACTGAGACTGCACCAGAGCAACCCTTCAGCTGTCCAGCATGATTTAGCAAGTGTAGCCAGGAGGTTTTGCACCTCATCTGTCAGGAACAGACCATGTCCCTCAATAGCAGCTGTGTGGGTGCCCCTGAACCAGGAGGGCTCCATCTCAGYAGGATGCAGTGACCTGAGACACAATCCCCCCTTACCATATTGCATGAGCCCACAGCAGGAGAGACAACCCTGCCCACACAAAGGTGGCAGCACCATCTGTCTCTCATGAAGAGGGAAACTTCAGAGGAAATTGTTATGGTCTGATGGTCATCACCTGGCCCCAGGGCCCCTGTCTGCTCCTCGACTGTAACTCATTTACAAACTTGGCTGTCAGTGTCTCCCATATCCATATCAAACCACSTGTTCAGTGGAGTGGAAGGTGTGGGCACAGCGTCCGGTTCAGCCATGGAATGAGGTGCATCCATATTTTCTAGCTGTGTCATRTTATCATCGCATTCCCTTCCTCACCAGCACTCATGCAGCTGAAGACAAGATGGTTATGGTATTAAGATATGTTGTCCACAGTGCTGTGCCCTGAAAATGTCATACAAAGCTACATTTTTCACCAGCAGTTTAAAAGAGGCAGATAGCTGAAATCACTTAGGATGTACCTGYTGTGAGGAAGGAACATGGCAATAATCAGAATTATTTAATTCAGACAAAGGTACCTGCAAGCAGGCTAGACTAGACTAAGCTAAGAGTGCTCCAAGAGCAGGTTTTCCAATGCTGTGACACGCTTTAACCTTATACAAGATTTCTAATGTGGTGGCACAGCAGGCAACTTACCTCCACTGCACACTGCTGTGGCAGAAGTCAAAAGTAGCCACCAGTCAGGAAGTAGACTGAAGTTGTCCCAATCATGATTTTGTTATAAGTTTCATTTTTGTGGGGTCTTTTGACAGCTCTGAGTAAGGAGAGAGATGAAAATGAGTGGCCAGTGGGCAGGTAAGAGCCCAAAGACCAGATTCTTGGATAGAAAGGTGTTCACTTTAGTAGGATCTTATTAAGATATGAGATTCTGTCATTGTGGAACAGCACAGAACAGGCACTTGCTGCACTTAAATAATCCTTCAGGGGCTTTCAGAGTGGGTAAGGTGCAACTGTATTCACAGCTAAGCTAYTGCTTACACTTAGCTCTGCATTTAGCACTGGGAGACCAAAGAACAAACTTACTGCAAACTATTTACATGTTGAACTTCATGAGAGGGAGCAAGTGTATGTTCCAACCAGCTGAGTATCTCAGATGTCCTGCTTAGGATTCTGATTTCTTCTTTGTCTTGCAGAATTTTGCTGCTCAGCGTAGCAATATTGTCACTCTACTCGGTACACCTCTTACTGAAAATATCAAAAGAAGGAGGTAAGAGGGTCAGGATGTGATTGGAAGAGAGTCCCTACTGCATGCATGTATTTTACCTTGGAATGTAATTCATCAGTGTAGTGACCCATG